AGAATCATGGTGGGGTTGGCTTACCTGGGTAAGGGTGGATGCCATTAGCAAACACGGCTTCTGCAGTGGGCTGCCCATTAGCTTGTGGTGGGAGGCCAGTGAAACCATTCACCCCAATTGGAGATGGGATGCTAGGCACAGCTGGTGCAGTGATGCCAGGAGGTGTGCTTCCACCTACAGAGAAGGAGAAAATCCACAGATGAAGAACTCAATAGGCAGTGACCAATGCATCCAGACATCAAGGTTGTTTTGGGAGGATCAGTAGGAAACCTATGGATAATGTAACAAATGGAGGACAAACTCTTTGACAGGTCAAACCCATCCCACAATGACATGGGCAGCATCTACCATCCCAGGTTAGACTGGGCTACGTGGCTTAGGCTTGGGAAAACTTAACACGGGAATCACTGGCGAAGTGTGCTCAGCTCCTAAAATAGGCTTTGTCTCCAGTGACAATCGTCTTTGGACAGACCCTTGGCTAGTGTCAACTGGCCAACCTTGGTGACTTTGTGGGGTCTGGCCATGTTTCTTTTCTCACCACCGTTTGGTATGAAGATAAGACATCTACACAGCACAAGGCAGTAATGTGGAGTAAAACCTCAGCCAGCTCTGCATGCCCTGGCTCTCTGCAATCAGAAGCAATGTAGCCACATTGATGTGGTGTGGTGTCTGGGATAATTATATCTATCTATCTATCTAGTTACATACCTCTCTATATAGATATATAGCTATCTATCTATCTATCTGTCTGTCTAAATAGATAGATAGATAGATAGATATAGATATTTGCTCAAATGATGCAATGCATTCATATAGCTTTGCTGATCCTGGGTCTGGAGGAGAACCACTGCACATCACTGCCTTGCATCGTGTAGCACATATACAGCTATCCCTACATGGCACGGTCTTGTACTGTGTAGATACACCCTGGACAGCATCTCATCTCCATTGGGTTTCAGTCTTGAAGACACCAACCTCTGGTTTTAACCGAGTCCAATGACTGGATCTCACATGACCAACCTCTGGGGCTGTAGTCTCCAGCATCAGGGATGCTTGGAGTGGCTGGCTACGAAGCTATGAAACTAGTCTCAAAGGAAAGGCAATACTTGCTAGAGTTTGTAGCTTTATCACAGCCACGTGGACAGCAACAGATTTCTGCCCAAGCTTGGGTTGGTCCTTAAAAATGATGGTCCCTGTGACTGCCAGAGACAGCCAGCCAGCTGAATTCAGAGGTGAGCTGCTGCTGCTGCTGCCTGCCCTACAGAAATACAGACCCCTCACACACTGATCCCAATGCAGGCACAAAACAAGGTCAACCCTGGACTGACTTAATCTCATATTTTACTGCAGCAAACAGCATTGGTTTCAGCTTCTCCTTACCCTGGTGAATCAATGCTAACTTTTCTAATGCCAGCAGGGCCCAGGGAAGTCTGGAGGGAACCTAAACTGCTGCTGCCGCCTTCCTTCCTCCCCCAGCCCTGCACATCAACCCAGCAGGCTCCTCCTAGATTTCCTGAGGCTCCTGTCCACTTAACAATGCCTCATTCACCCCTCTGCCTTTGTGCATCACATTGGAATTAGGCAGCTAAATATACCAGAATAAAAGACCAAAAAGGCTGTAATTTTCACATCACAGGTACAGAAGAGAAGGAAAAGCAACAAGTACAATGGGTGGGGGTCAGAGAATAATGATTCCTTTATCTAACACCTCTTTTCACCAGCTCCTACTTGCTTGGCAAGGAAGCTGGGAGACTGCAGTGCTTACACAGCAGCAGGTGGGAAGTGCTTAGGTCTAAATGAGCCCGGTTCCAGTTCTCTCTGCCTTTGATTGTGCTGTTTATTAAGGCAGTGCTTAGGGGTGTCTGGTGAGATCAAAGCCCCTGGGCTGCTGGGTTCTGCACAGACACCAATAAGAAGACTCAGGAATTTTGCAAAGCAAACAGGCACGCCAGACATGGGACAGGAGGGGAAACAGAGGCACAGAGGGGGGAAATGGCTTGTTCAAAGCTGTAGCAAAGACATGAACAGAGCCAGCTCTCCTAAGTCACCATCCCACTGACTTGTACACCACACTGGCTGCGTCTACACGAGACGCTTAATGTGCAGTAGTCTAATAACTGTGCAGTAGTGCGTTGCAGCACGGACATATGCTCTTGAGCAGCATTTTTAGGCTACTGCACAGCAGTATCACTAAAAAGGCATTTGCCAGTGCTACTGCGCAGTAACTCTAGTTACTGTGCATTTAGTGAGTACTTCATTAAGCAAGTACTCAATGAAAGGCGCAGTAACTACGGTGCATTAATGAACATGTAGACTTGCCCGATGTCTCTATCTAGTCTATAAAGCAAGCAGTAACAACCCATCTAGTGGGAAATGAGCTGAACGTGGCCTTTCCAAATCCTTGGGATCCCTTTGCTTCAATTCTACAACCAGGCACAAGTAAAATTTGGGGCTACTTCCCTGCTTTTAATGGAGTCTCCTCCCTGCCACAGGTAGCTTATTAAAAATATGTCTGGAAAGCAATTTCCCTTTAGTTTCTGAACCAGATCACATTATCCAGGTGTCAGGTGGTCTCAAAATATTTCCCAGGAAAGGACCACTCCCTGTTTCCCCCCTCCCAAATCTTATTTTAGCTTGTTGGATACTATGTTGTGTGATCAATACCCTTTGGGCACTCTGAGGGGAAAAAAATAAGCAGTTTTCAACAAGCACCAAGCTATGCTTCCTGTCTCCTTGCCACGGATGAGGGAAAGCAGCTTTGTTTGAATGAGTGGAGTCCCAGCCCCTTGCCTATGGGTACAAGTGCTGGGGTACAAATGTTACAGAAGTCCCTATCTCAGCAGTCCCCAATCTGTGGTACAGGTATCATCAGTGGCACACAGACAACCTGCCACTGGTACCCATTAACAGATTTATTACAATTACTTTAATGACAAAAATTTGCGGGTGGTACTTAAGTTTGAACTGAAAAATTTGCGGGTGGTACTTAAGGTCATAACATTTTAAATTGGTGGTGTGCAATCTGTCAGAGTTTGGGAACTGCTGCCCTACCTAAAATGACTATAGGACAGTATTTCACCATAAAAGAGCCTGATCTAGCCATGCCCTTAAGCTGGGGCTTAGCTTTGAGCATGTGCGTAAGTGCCTCAGTGGCCTGAGTCCCTAGGAGAGCAGCAATATTTATGAACTCTTTTATCTTAATGCATTTTGATGTGAAAACCCTAGACTTTTGCTCTGCTGCAGTGCATACAATTTAGCACCATGCTGCTGCCCAGAACAGACAAGTTGCTGCTTCCCTTTTGTTTCAAATGGTGCTTGCCTGAAGAAATTCCCTCCACGCACCATGGAGGACCAGGGAACAAGCAGTGACATCCCGAGGTTCAAGGGCAATACTCTTTGCATACACCATCAGCTTGAATGTCACAAAGGCTAGTTGAAATTTCAGTCGCTTTTATAGATCTGTCCTCTATTTGCATAGGAAATGGGATTCATATTCCCTAAGCAAGCAGCCCGAAGTTGATGTTTGTTTGTTTGTTTTTGAGGCTTATTCACATCCTTTCTTTAATTCTTCTTTGCAAAAGCCCGCTGGGGCCACGTGCCTTGCTAGAGGAACTTGGCATAGCACCACTGCTGCGAAGGGAACCGCACCTGTTCATCCCAATCATGAGTTTGGCCCTGTATTTGGAAAAGTCCTGTTGCAACTATACATCAAGAGAGACCCAGACGTTAAAGGAGAGCATGACACCAGTATACATGGCAGAGAGGGGCCAAATGACATTCACTGTTGCTACCAGGCTGACCAAAAGTGTGGTGCATAGGTCACACGTGGTCCAAGAGGATGTATAACAAGACCTTTAGCTCAAGGAGACTACAGGACTAAGATTGCAATGCAAGACTGCTCTCTCGGTGGCCCCTGCTCAGATCCAGAGGGTGCCGGGATCTGTTTTCAGTAGGCTGCCCTGGTTGTGAAGACAAGGGTAGGGACCATCGACTCCATGTTGCAGGAACATGGGAACCCACCTGGTTAAGCACCTGCTCTGGATACCTTTACAAGACACTTGGATGCTTATCTTGCTCCCGCTGACTTCCTGCCCCTTGGGCAGGGGACCAGACCTGATGCTCTCGCCAGATCCCTTCCAGCCCTAACATCTATGAAATCAGGTCTAGTGACTTGCTATTTCAGACCTTCATACTAACGAAGCAGAGTTTTGTACTGGGATCCTGCCAACCTGCATGTGTGTGTCTAGGCATCAAAAGGTTTGGACCCTCCCAAGAATCAGTTTGTCAGCAAAAGGCAACTTCATGCACGTTGTAAAAAAAAGGGGCTGATCTTAAGTGCGTCCCAGTGTGCCATCCACTGCCTTGTTGTAAGAAGAGGTTGCTTGGGTCAAGATCACTGATACTGAGGTCTCACCAATGTAACCACATAGGGACTCACATAAAGCTCATGGAGGGGTGTATATGGAAGCAGATGGGTAGCTGCACCTCTTTGTGCCTTTGTTTCCCCTCCCAGCTATTGCCTGGTTAGACTGTAAGCAGTATGGCCCTTTCGCTCCATGCAATGGGAATTTGGGCAACCCTGGGACACCTGGTGCCTGGTTCCTTGACAGCCTGCTGGGTCCCCAGCCAAGGACCCCCAAAACCCGGTAGCCCCAGGGGGCGCGGCCAGCCTGGTACCTTGGATATTTGTATGCTCCCAGCTCCCTGTTAGCTTTCTAAGGAGAATTTTATTTGCTTAGAAACTACCCAAGCTAAATGCTTTGATTTTTTTTCCCAACACTTTCTCCCCTTGGATTGCTGTTTCATGGGGAATTTTGAAGCATTTGCTTTACATTTCAAATTGGAGTAAGAGCACACTTTGAAATCCCCCATGGAGCAGGGGGGGTGACAGCTGCCAGACCCCAAATGCCTCCCGGTTGTACAAAGATGGCCACGAGCTGGACTGCTTTGACGACTCATGTCCTTCAAGTCATCCACAAGAGTTAAGCATCTGTTAGGCAGCATGGTGGGGAGACGCTCCAAAAGTCGAGGTGTTTCAGAAATGGATGCAAACGAGATGATCACAAACGAGGGGTCAAACAGGTTTTTTTTGGAGGGGGGGTGTCAACAGAACTACCCACACAGCATAAAATGGGAGAAACGCTGTTGTGAATTAGGTTCGACATTGCAAATGC